CATTTCCGGACTGACCTCCACTTTGGTGTCTCCTCAGCACGCTGGCATTGTGCTCTGCAGAAAGGGCTTTGTGTACATGCTTGCTGTGGATTCGGTGAACCCCCTGCTGCAGCTTCCAGAGGGAGGTGTCCAGCCGTGGCATCAGACACACACTGAGGCACACGTAGTCATGTGGGGCGTTGCCTCAGCGAGGCGCCAGGGACTGCACAGGGGCCTCCCTGCGGCTGAAGGAATCGCGCACAGCCTGGGCTGGGTGGCGCTGGCGCCTGCATCTCCAGGCCTGGGAGACCTGGAGCGCCAGGGAGAGCGTCTTTGGGCGTTTTGCTAAGTAGTCACTGTCATTTGGTCTTTTATTTTTTAAAAAGTTTATTATTTATGCACACAGAGCTGGGGTACAGGCCAGAGGGGCAGGGGCGGTGTGAGGATTCCCCAAAGACAGAGTGGGGAGCAGACGGGCAGATCAACCAAGTACACTGCTGAGGGGAGCAGCGGGGAGACAGGTGAGGTCTGCTGTGCCCTGGGGGTCAGCTTTGGGGCAGGGACGGACTCACGCTGAAGCAGCTGCTGGCAGCTTGCAGTGCTGCGTCCTCACCCGGCAGGGCCCTCATTTTGCTTTTTAAATGCAGTTACCAAGTGTGTCTGAAGTAATCTGTTACTTCAGTGGGGATTATTAATACTTGCTGAGGGGTGTTCCTGAGTCAACAATCGCCCGTAAGGCAGCTCCCAGTCGGGGTGCCTTTTAGAATGGAGATGGGGCAGCTGTTACGGTGACTTCACGTGCAGTCATCTGTAACCTCAGGTGAGCTCTGAGCATGGCTGCACCTAGGCCCGGACAGCCCTGCAGATCGTGCACATCGAGACCTCGAGTCTCTGTGTGTGTCTTAAGAACACTCACGAAGCTGCCGGGCCATTGCTGGCCTGTGCTGCGGGCTGAGGTGGGCTCATGGCAGCCCAGTGCGTGCCACCGGCACAGGGTGGCGCGGGCAGGTGGGGCAGGATGGGTGGCCCAGCGGGGGCCAGGCTTCCTGCACACAGTAGGGGTGCGAGAGGAAGGGCGCGCCTCAGGTCGCTGCAGGCCCTCACCCTGCGCTCCAGGGGACCGGAGCCCCGGAAGTGTCTCAGCGTGGGCAGCAGGTGCCCACTCCTGCCCACCCCACGGCCACTGTCCCCCGGCAAGGGGCAGGGGCGGTTATGCCAGCAGACCAGGTGGCACTGGAGAGAGGGACGCCCCAGAGGCGCTGAGGCAGGTGCGGCAGAGTGAGTGGGAACAGCAGTGGGGCAGGCGGGCGTCGTGCGCCCGTGTGCCTGGGGCAGTGACTGTCAGTAGCGGGGCGGCACAGGCGCTCTGTGCCCGCCGGTTACTATGGAGAGCGGGCTTGCGCGGGCCATTGTGACCTGCTCTGCGGGCCTGGAGCCCCGGCGCGGGCGGGGCGCCGTCCTCTCCGGGACCAGCTGTCCCCGACCTGGGCCTCCCGCGCCTCCACACCGCTGCGCCCCAGCCGTCCCTGTAACCCGAGCACGCCGTGAGTGGGGCAGCGCGGCTGAGGCGTGTCCCCTCGGGGCCCAGCGGCGCGCTGCCTTTTCCACGCGCCGGTGCCCACGAGCGCGGCTGCCTGTGGCAGCCTCTGCGAGTCACGGACCCGTGGGGGGGTCCCCTTGTACTCCAAAGGACTCGGGCGTCCCAGGGGACGGTTAGCCTTGAACTCTCTCCATCTCAGCTTCCTTCACCATCAGCGAGACCTCACTCCCTGGTGACCCGCCTGCTGCGCTGCCCGGCCGGCCGCCGCCAGCACTGTCCATGCTAGGTGGGGGCGGCTGGCAGGCTGAAAGCGCCCAGGAGCCAGGTGCCCACCGAGGTTTCCCGGTGAGGATTCAGCAGACGCTCTGGCTCACCTGCTCTCCTGCCCGCAGGGCCGGGCGCGGCGGCGTCCGCGGGAGAGGCTGCGCCTGAGGGGCGCTGTGACGGGCTCGGCCGCTCTGCGCTCGGATCAGCTTTTGCTTCATCTCCCTGGGGGACCACCCAAGGCCTGGGCAGCACGCTTCCTTTGACCCAGCCTCGCGGGGGTGTGATGCGTGGGCCCCGTGACGCATTCCTGGCCTGGTCACTCAGAAGCCAGTCAGGGCTTCAGCCCCACCCTTCTGACCCACGGTGCAGGAGCAACTTTCGGGGGGGGGGCGCTGTCTGTGCTCACTGTGCGGCCTCCTGAGGGCAGTGACCAGCCAGGAGGGTGGACGCTGCTTCCTGGCCCGGGGCTGAGTGGCTGCGCGTGCTCGCTGAGCCTCTCCGGCCTGCCTGAGGACCCGCCCGCTGTTCCGGGCCGCAGGAGCCGGCTCGCTCTCCTCAGAACATCATCCAGTAAATGGTGTTTTGAGTTTAGGGAACTGTTCAAGTAGCGGGGCAAGTGCTTGTCCTGTGCAGTCTGCAGCTTGCGTTGCTGACGGGATGCACTCGACCCTGGCCGGCCTGCTGCCTTTCTCCCTCTGGAGTTTTTCTGTTCAGCAGCCGTCAGGAGCGAGTTCTTTCCAGGTGCTGGCGCAGGAGCCGGGCGGCCGGCCGCGGTGGCCCAGCCCTGGGGCCTGAGCGGGGCCCCTGCGAGCTGGGAGCACGAAGAGGGGCTCGGCCGGACCGAGGTGGAGGGTGGGTGGAGGGAGTGCCTGGGAGAGACTGGCACAGAGCGCTGCTGAGAGCAAGGCTCGCTCGGCCCAGGCGACGCTGGCCCGCGGAGGCGAGGGGCCTCGTGGTCAGAGCATGGCACCCCAAGCCCAGGCAAGGGTTAGCTCTCCTCGCGCCCCGTCACTCTGGGCAGCGGCACTCACTGCAGCGGGGCCCGCCAGCGGGGATGCAGCTCCTCCTTCCTGCCCGTGGACGCGTGTGGCTGCACCTTCAGGGCCGGCACATGCCCTCAGCCTGGCCGGGGGCCCACCGAGCGCGGTCTGGAGCCCAGCCCTTCTGCCGTACACCCCGCCCCTCCCTGGTGGCCGCCGCCCCCCGCCCCCCGCAGCCGCACGCTGGGCAGCCTGTGTGCACACGAGGGTTCTTTAAAGGTTCTTCGAAGGCGGGACGTGAGGGCTGGTGCACGGCCCTGTTCCCCAGCTGGCGGCCCTCAGCCCCTCGGAGGGGACGGGGCGCC